ACACGCCGGACCGGGCAAGGGGAGGAGGCGGCAGAGATCAGAGGTCACAGGGCAGAAAGTTAGTAAAATGTGGATAAAGGGTCAGAGGTCACAGCAGCTGCGGACTCCAAGGGCAAGCCCCTGACATCACTCCAACACCCCAAACCGCCCCAGGAGAGAACCCCCTCAACCTGTGACCAAGGCCAGTGCGGAGCGGAGCCGGTTCTGGAGCTGAGACGCCATTGCGGCCTGTGGGTGGGTGGGAACCCCAGCACTAAGCCAATCCCAGCGCAGAGGGGGGTGTGGCCAGGGCAAAGCCGGGGCCAATCAAAGACCCGCCAGCCTTAGGCCATCTGTGGCCACCAGCGCAGGCGGACCTCCCACTGCGGGGGTGTGGCCAGACACTGCTGCTTAGGGGCCCCGGGTGCGGAGAAGACAGGGGGCCCCATTCCCCCCAAAAAGACAAAGACTGCATGTGGGGCGGAAGATCGGAGGACTTTATTTCCGGTTGCCACCCCTCCCCCTCGAGTCAAACAGTGATATAAAAGGAATAGAAACAATAAAAATCAGGCCATGAGATTACCAACTAACCCTCTCCCACCCCCATCCCCCGGAATCACTCCCAAATTAGGACACATGATTGATGTCTGATGTTTATCCCCGACTCCTCCTGTTACCCTCTCTGTCCAGGACTCTGGTCTTCTCTGAAGCCTTCAGCGACTGGTGGGAGAAAGGGAACTGGACCTTGGAGAACTTTCTGTATGGCAACTTGGTTCTCCGAGAACAGGTGGGGTAGGGGACACCAGGTAAGCTGCCATCACCCCCTCTCCCTTCCAACCTTCTTCATGGCCCCAACATGGTCAAGGGGTGCCCAACACTATCATCCCTCTGGCCTCTCATTCTCACTGCTCCAGCCTCTAAGACTGCCAGCCCTTGAAGGCCCTAATGCCAAAGTAACCATTCTCCCAGTCTACAGTTCCTTCCTTTGGCAGATGTCCCTGGCCAGGGCCCCCAACCTCTACACACCACTGACCTGGAGTTAGGGGTAGAAGTTTGGGGCAGGAGTAGTTTATCCCACGCCTCACTCGAGATGGGCAATCAGCACCATCATGACAACTCCCCCCAGCAGCCCCAGCACCTCCAGAAGTGACTGCAATGGTGATGCCTCCCTCAGCAGCTCGGGCAACACAGACACTGTTGCTACGTAGATAAAGCCACCTGCAGTAAATGGCAGGACCCAGCCAGGACCTGCACCACCTGCAACTTCACTGCCCACTGCTCCTCCTTCAGTGAGAAGGGCACAGGCTGTGCCTGCCAGTGCCCCTACTGCTGTCAGTAGTTGCAGACGCATTGCCTGATGGGCAGAAAAGAGAAAAACGCACTCACCAATAGCTAAAGATTATCAGTGGTTTAGAAGTGGCTGGTGGGGTATAGGTATAGGGGACATGGATTTGGAAACTAAACATCAAAGTAAAAAGAGAGGAGGGGGCAGTCTAGAATAGACAATTTCTGAAAAATCTTAGCGATCAGAGGTCCTTTCCAGACTTTCTGATTGAGTAGGCGTGTGTGTGTAAGACTCCACTAAACCATTCAGATGGTTTATAGACCACAGTTTAAGAAATACTGAGCTAAAGGACAAAGTAACTAGAACTTCTTTCCCCTCATTTCTAGAGGACTTGTCAATGACAGTATGAATTGTTTGGAACTAACAAGAGGCTGTTTGGGTTTAGGGTGAGTGAGGAGAAATAAAGGGTTTGAGGTAGCTGTGTTTGGCAGACATCACCAACCTGCTTTTTGCTGCAGCCAGACTGGACCAAGATGGCAAAGTCTCCGACCTCATGGGGCACTTCATGTAGCAGGACAGTCATTGTGGTCAGGATCCCTAGCCCCCGACCCCCTCGAAAGGAAGCCCCAATGGCCAGACCATCAGTGAAGTTGTGTGCCAAGTCAGCAGCCAGATTCAGGTACCCTGACACACGCAGATCTTGTACAGGACGAGAAGAGAAAATGATCAGAGGCCTCCATCACCACTTGTTCAGTCTTGGTCAGTTATTCTCACACCTCCCCTCAGAGACCACTTCACACCCAGTCTTTTAGTGTTTCTGAGACACCTGCCATTACCCACAGCACATATTCCATGTGATTTGTGATGATGTCCCTTTCCCAAATTTATGACCAACTCTGGCCCTTACCTAAGCCTCTTTTTTCTTCTTCAGCATTCTGAGGTCTCACTGGCCCATCTTTGGGTACCGTGCTCCCTCCTCGCCTCTTCTGAACCCCCCCTGTTTCCTTTTCTTCTTCTTCTGAGCTCTGCTTCTCCTTGGTAGAACGCTCTGAGGGAAGAAAAGAGTTAGTCAGCGTGGAGAACAGATCTTCCAACATGTCCTCTCCCTCCTGAGGGCCGTAAGATGAGGAGATTCTGAGGCAGGCAAGTCAGCTTTCGGGAAAGTTGTTCCTGGGCTCACCTTGTCTTCCATGTCCATGACTTCCATGTGTGTGACTGTGAGCGTGTCCATGTCCATGACTGTGACCATGTCCTCCTTTCACATGTCTCACAAATTTCTCCACAACAAGAAAGGCAACAATTCCACTGAGAACCCACAGTCCCACAGACAGAATGGGGCCCTGGCCTGGGAATGGAGGCATTGAGACATTAAAGGAGATGTGCATTACAGACTCCTCCTCCTCAAGTGCAGGAGGTGAGGAATAGGGAGAGACAGACCTTCCCCAGCACCCCAACTCCCATCCCCATCTGTCTCTTCCTCACCACTGTGGGAGTGTCCATGTCCGTGTTGCTCCAGAGTGTGGTGAGAATGAGGTTCTGGAAGATGGGGGGAAAACCAGATGAGGGAATATCTGACACAAAGGGTGTGTATTTGGGGGAATATCGAAAGGTCAGGGATCATAAAGGAGAAAGAACCCTTTTCCCCCAAAGAACAAAATAGGTTAGATTTGAGGTAGAAGTCAGAGGTTACTTACCAAGAGCATGAGGAATGAGGTGCAGGAAGGCATCTCCCAGGAGGCCACCGGAAGCAAAACTGAGCAAGATCTGAAGTAGAGAGCGATGCCGGGGGGAGTTTGACTCCACAGGGATAAGGAAGAGGACAAAAAATGGAGCTGCTGAGATCAGCACTGTGGCCCCCAGTGCCTGGTGAGGGAGAGTCAGGGTCAAGTACTGTGGTGTTTCCCAACAATCCAGAACCAGCCCCTCTCTCTTCCATCCCCTGGAGACTCACATAAGCCCAGAGAGTGACAGCATCCAGGTCCTGCTTGATGCCTGGAGCCCCAGACTCCCCATAGCCTCCATGGCTATGCTCATGGTCATGTCCATGTCCTCTGTGGAAGAGGCTCTCATGGGAGTGGCCATGGCTATGGCCATGGTGTAAATCCTCATGTGAATGTCCATGGTCGTGACCGTGGGTATGTCCATGCCAGATGCTCTCGTGAGTGTGGCCATGGCCATGGGCATGGCTGTGTCCATGGTGGAAATCTTCATGTGAGTGCCTGTGACTGTGGCCATGGAAGTCCTCTTGCAGATCGTCGTGCAGGTCGTCATGACCCGCGAGTCCAGCCACCAGAAGCCCCAAGGCCGCCCAGGTCAGCAGTCCCACGGCCACCCAGTGGGGGGCCCCCAGGCCTCTGGCCATCACGCTGACCAGAGGGACAGAGACAGTGACTCCACTTGACTCAACTCTATACTTACACAGGGTCAGCTTTACTCCAATAGCGCCCTCCGTCCACCTCTATGGGCCGCTCTCCCATTCCCTTAAGTTCCCACCTACCTACATTGTTCCCAAGACTAGTTCTCTTTATCCCGAACCCCCTCCCGGATGTAGGGCCCTGGGACACTAGTCTTTCACCAGCCACTTTACAGACTCTCTGGGCCCTCGTCTCTATGACTCATTAGGTAAGGAAACGGCCTAGAAAGGATGGTAGAGAAAAACAGAGAATTCTCACCAGCTCCGGGATCCTCTCCTTTCCCGGTTTGCTCGGACGTGGCAGTCCCGCCTTTAGCTCCCGCGAGAACAGGAAGTTCCGTTCCACCTTCGTCCTAATGCCTTTACCAATATGGCGGTACTCTGGTAGCGACAAATCCATCCTGCACTGATGCGCATGCGCGAGAGTGGAGGTTATTTGAGGGGAGGGTGGGCGAGGCGGGCTAACAGGCCGGAGGAGACCGCCTCCTCGGTTTCCAACTAGACGAGGGGGCGGGAACTCGCGCCGAGACTTCCCGTCTGTACAAAGATGGCTGCCACATTGGCGCTGTCATTTTGGTACAGAGCAGAGCGACAGGCTTAATTCTACCCAATCCAGGCCAGAGTCTTTCTCTCAGGGGCTTCCTCGTGCTCAGCTACTCCTCCGATCAACCCCTGGGAATCCCTGGGAGCTCTTCGGTATCCCTACTCTCAGCCAGGGATATGTCTTGGGCCGCTCGCCCGCCCTTCCTCCCTCAGCGGCATGCCGCAGGGCAGTGTGGGCCGGTGGGGGTGCGAAAAGAAATGCATTGTGGGGTCGCGTCCCGGTGGCGGCGGCGACGGCCCTGGCTGGATCCCGCAGCGGCGGCGGCGGCGGCGGTGGCAGGCGGAGAACAACAAACCCCGGAGCCGGAGCCGGGGGAGGCTGGACGGGACGGGATGGGCGACAGCGGGCGGGGTGAGTGTCCCAGCAGAAGGGCAGGCGAGCCAGTAACCGCGTTATCTGCAACCCCTCCCCCACACCCTCCTCTGGTTTTCCTGGCGCTCCCGCCCCCTTGTTTGTAAACACGCGTCCCCTCCCTCCCGAGGGCCTTAGCACCCTCCTCCCCGGGGCGGGGCGGGGCGGGGAAGGGGAGCTTCCGCCCTCTTAACCGTGACCGCTTGAGGCCTTGGGCACCGGAGGTCGCGGGCGTGGGAAGGGCACGATTCCTCTTAAGCTTCAGGACTTTGGGCGTTTAAAGGCAGATCCTGCGTCGTAGGAGGGGTCTCTCCCGCCTATCTCTTTCCCCTGCACGCTCTGGCTACCTGGCTTTACGCTGGGAATAGAGGGGCTCGATGGTCTACCCCACGTGTTGCCCCACCCACGAGACAGGTGTGGCTTTAGGATGACCTGGTATTCAAATAGATCGGTTGGAAAATTTTCCTCACCTGAACTATCCTCCTCTCCTTGTCACCTCCCTCCTCTCACCACAATGAGGAGTTATGCTGTGTTTTTTTAGCCAGTCAAATATAGCAGTGGGGGGTTGTATATCAATTTTAGTGACACTAATGTTTATTAATAAGTTCTGATAACCCACTACCATCGGACCAGCCGGAGTTACACAGTTGTTTGACAGCAGGGTGTCTCTGGACTTGGGGATGGGTGGAGTGGGCTGGGTCCGGCACGGTGGGGTATTAGAGAATTAAAGTCTCTAGTTGGATGTTTGAAGACTCATTTTCTTTTTTTGTCTCTTCTGTCTCTTTTGTGTCTGTGTACGTGTACATACCCCTCCCTAAGACTCCCGAAGCCCAGACAGCTCCTCCCCAAATCCCCTTCCCCAGGGAGTCCCTCCCCCTTCTCCTCCTGGACCACCCCTACCCCCTTCAACAGCTCCATCCCTTGGAGGCTCTGGAGCCCCACCCCCACCTCCGATGCCACCCCCCCCACTGGGCTCTCCCTTTCCAGTCATCAGTTCTTCCATGGGGTCCCCTGGTCTGCCCCCTCCAGCTCCCCCAGGATTCTCCGGGCCTGTCAGCAGCCCCCAGGTGAGAGGTTGTGACCAACTTACTGCCTGGCCACTTTCATTTTCTTGTTTTCCTTGTAACCGAGGATCCATATGTGAACTTCCCCATGGCCCATTGACCTTCCAATTCTCTAATCTTGTCAGTCCTGTGGTCTTCGTGAGACCCCTTGCCTTTCCTGAGGTGACTGATCTTTCAGTGCATGCTTCCTCCCCTAAAAGAACTCTAATATTCTTTGTTTTTGTGTGTGTGTGTTTTGTTTTGTTTTGTTTTTTGAGATGGAGTCTTGCTCTGTTGCCCAGGCTGGAGTGCAGTGGCACGATCTCGGCTCACTGCAACCTCTGCCTCCTGGGTTCAAGCGATTCTCCTGCCTCAGCCTCCTGAGTATCTGGGATTACAGGTGCCTACCACCACACCCAGCTAATTCTGATATTCTTGATGTCCTTTTCATCTATCAGTGATTTTCTGCCCTTTTGGTCCCATCTGCTTTCCCAAGACACCTGCCCTTCAGGGTCACTGTGTTGCACAATTTCGGGGGGCCTGTTTATTCTCTTTGGGGTTGTGCTCCAGGGATGGCCCTTCACATAGACTGCAGTGTAAATGATGCCCTCTGGAATGTGCACTGCAGGGCCTTGCTTAGTGGTAGGGAATGATTTCCATCACTTCTGTGAGATTCTCCTTCCCAACAAGTCTTCCTGTGACTTCCCTATTTCCCCCATCCCAGATTAACTCAACAGTGTCACTCCCTGGGGGTGGGTCTGGCCCCCCTGAAGATGTGAAGCCACCAGTCTTAGGGGTCCGGGGCCTGCACTGTCCACCCCCTCCAGGTGGCCCTGGGGCTGGCAAACGGCTATGTGCAATCTGCGGGGACAGAAGCTCAGGTATGGGGCTCAGAGGATGAACAGAGAGGGAGAGTCTGGGCCGTGTATCATCACCTGTGGGATTCCCAGGGCTAATGGGGTTTGGTCAGAGCAAGTGACCTGGGGGAGGCTTGATGAGAGTAAAGAAACTGAAGCTGAGATGTAGGATGCGATTGGGGGGAAGGTCAGAGGGAAAAGGGAGTGCCTGTAGGGTTTCTGAACAGTGGGGAGACTGGGACTGGATCATCACTCAGCTCCTGGTTCCCTATCTCTGTATTTGGCAAACGGAGAGGACTTAAACTTTAAGTTTTGCTAGGGGGAGATTGGAAAGAGACTAAATGGTGAAGCTGTCTCCATGCAACCTTCTTATTGCTCCTCCCATTTCCCTGTAGGCAAACACTATGGGGTTTACAGCTGTGAGGGTTGCAAGGGCTTCTTCAAACGCACCATCCGCAAGGACCTTACATACTCTTGCCGGGACAACAAAGACTGCACAGTGGACAAGCGCCAGCGGAACCGCTGTCAGTACTGCCGCTATCAGAAGTGCCTGGCCACTGGCATGAAGAGGGAGGGTAAGGACCTGCCCTACCCAGGTGTCTTAGACCACATACCCTTCTCCCCTATCCGACTCAGACTGTGTACGTCTCTGGAAGGCTGGACTGTTCTCTCTCCTCTAGAGGGCGATATTTGATTTCTCTCTCCCTTTGCAGCTCTCCTCCCTGTTACCCTGTTCTGGCCCTTCAGTTTCCTTCTTAATGATTAGGTCTCTGTGGCCTGCACCTATGACCCCTCCCTAGACTGGTCCTAGGATAGAATAACTTTTCCTTACCTATGATGGGCTGTCTCCCCATTTCTAACCTAAGTAGTTCCTCCTCTCTTTGATTCCATGGACCTTCTCTGGTCTCTGTTTCCTGTTATCTGTGGTCTTTCCTCTAACTCCTGGGACTCTGACACTCTTAAGCTTACAGACTTTACTGAAGACCTCAGGGCTTCCCTTCCTTCTCCATCTTATCTTAAGTCAGATTCCTAGGATTCTGAGAGACCCTTTAGAGTGCATCTTGGTCAAAACGCCCACTTTAGAGAAGATGAGCCTGAGGCTTGGCTTTCCCAAGGTCATGCAACAAAGGAGTGGCAGGCAGGTTTGGGATCAGAACCCACATCTCTGAAGACCTAGGCCAGTGCCCCTTTCACTGCCTATTTGTTGAGTAAGAAGAGCACAAGATTTGCACTCAGACACACTTAGATTAAGTTGTATGACCTGCTATGTAGTATATGAATTTAAGCAAACTAATCTCTTTGAATCCCAAGTTCTTCATCTTTAAAAATGAGAATAAATGCTTCCAGCATCATTATGATAATTGAATAAATGTTAAAATGTGCTTAGCATGTTTCTTGGCATATTTTATTTAAAAAAAAATTTTTTTTCTATCAGCTTTCTCAGGCATGTTTTTTAACCATGTAGTAGGCTCTCCATTTAAATTCCTCCCTAATTCTTTTACCTACCTCACCTTTCCAGACTGACTTATCTGCCCTTTTATAACCCTTGCTTCAGGGCTGCCCCCAGTCCACCCTTTCTAGTGACTTCCCCATTCATATAAATATCTCCCAAGGGCCATGAGATCCTGATGAGGCCAAGTATATTTGTGGAACCCCTTCATGGATGGCTGCTGACTTTCCATGTTTTCTCTCCCGCTTCCCCCTGCAGCGGTACAGGAGGAACGTCAGCGGGGAAAGGACAAGGATGGGGATGGGGAGGGGGCTGGGGGAGCCCCCGAGGAGATGCCTGTGGACAGGATCCTGGAGGCAGAGCTTGCTGTGGAGCAGAAGAGTGACCAGGGCGTTGAGGGTCCTGGGGGAACCGGGGGTAGCGGCAGCAGCGTGAGTGTTGGGGTCAATCCACTCTCCTTGGTGATGGGGGTTGGGGGAGGCAGTCTAGGTCTGTTCTATATCCCCTCCACCTCCTTTCCCCTCATAACCTTCCTAACACTACTTGGGACTGGAAGTGCTGCCAAACAGGGTCTTTCAAACCTCTGAGGTGGATGTGATAGCTCCTTCTGTCTCCAATCCCCAAACAACTCACTGGCAGAACCACAGGCATGTCCCAAATAAATAATTGTTTGCACGAATGCCAGAAGAGAAGCCTGACTTACAGGGATTGGTTTGGATGGGGCTCACAGGAAGACTATATGTAAGGAGGGGTTGTCAAAAGCCTCTTACAAGGGGCTCCCAGCGTATCTCAAAATCTTCCATAACTCTTACCCCTGTCCCCTGCAGCCAAATGACCCCGTGACTAACATCTGTCAGGCAGCTGACAAACAACTATTCACGCTTGTTGAGTGGGCGAAGAGGATCCCACACTTTTCCTCCTTGCCTCTGGATGATCAGGTCATATTGCTGCGGGCAGGTCAGTGACCTTGGATCCCTTTGACCTCTTGACATTTGACCCCTCTTTGACTTCCCAACCTTTAGTGACCCCAGTGGCCTTACGTTGTATACTTGGAGCCAAACTTGCTGACCTCGCCACCTCTTTTCTCCTTCTCTTCTACTGATGTGCTTTGAATCCCTTGGCCTGATTTCTGGCTCCTGACCCTTGCTGCCCCACCCAGGCTGGAATGAGCTCCTCATTGCCTCCTTCTCCCACCGATCCATTGATGTTCGAGATGGCATCCTCCTTGCCACAGGTCTTCATGTGCACCGCAACTCAGCCCATTCGGCAGGAGTAGGAGCCATCTTTGATCGGTCAGTGGCCCTCGGCTAGGCTGGCATGTAGATAGAGGGGGTGGGGCTATAGGCTGGTCCGTGTCCAAGGCTGGCTGAGCTGTGACCTTTGAGTGACCTGCAGGTCCCTCTCCAGGGTGCTGACAGAGCTAGTGTCCAAAATGCGTGACATGAGGATGGACAAGACAGAGCTTGGCTGCCTGAGGGCAATCATTCTGTTTAATCCAGGTAAGAGGAGGATTACCTTTGTCTCTCAAGGCCAAGGCAACCTTGGAGCCTCCTCTTCTCCGAGACTCCTAAGTTACCCAGCTATCCCCCTCAGTAAGACCCTCAACCTGGAAATCTCCCAACTGGCCAAGGAAAAACCCACATCCACGGATCCATCCCACAAACCCAGTGGGCCCTGCTTCCCTTGCCAGGCCTCTGGTAAAGGGCAAGCAAATGCAGCCCAAAAGGGGCATCCTGTGACTGACATCCACACGGCCATCCTGATTTGGTTTGTCTTCATTTCTCTTCCTCCTCTCTTCCCTGCCATCCCAGATGCCAAGGGCCTCTCCAACCCTAGTGAGGTGGAGGTCCTGCGGGAGAAAGTGTATGCATCACTGGAGACCTACTGCAAACAGAAGTACCCTGAGCAGCAGGGACGGTGAGATGGGGCTGGGGGCACTGAGGCTCCCTTGGGAGTGGGGAGTGCTATGAGGATGTATTTAGGGCCCATGTGCTTCCAGCTCTCAATCCCCCTCTCCCACCTCCACTCCAGGTTTGCCAAGCTGCTGCTACGTCTTCCTGCCCTCCGGTCCATTGGCCTTAAGTGTCTAGAGCATCTGTTTTTCTTCAAGCTCATTGGTGACACCCCCATCGACACCTTCCTCATGGAGATGCTTGAGGCTCCCCATCAACTGGCCTGAGCTCAGACCCTGACGTGGTGCTTCTCACACTGGAGGAGCACACATCCTAGAGGGACTCCAAGCCCTGGGGCAGGGTGGGGGGCCATGTTCCCAGAACCTTGATGGGGTGAGAAGTACAGGGCAGAACCAAGAACATAAACCCTCCAAGGGATCTGCTTGATATCCCAAGTTGGAAGGGACCCCAGATCCCTGTGAAGACTGGTTGTTTCCCTTCAGTGGCCTTGAGTCTCTGAATTTGTCGGGGTCTCCCGTGATTTGGGGTGATTTCTCACCCTCTGTCCTTCCCCCAGCACAAAGCACTGGCCCTGCCTCCAGGACCTTGCTTCCTTCTCATCTTGCCTCATTTTGCTTCCCATCTGAAGAGTGGAAATGGGGAACTCCCCCAGAGGTGGATATTGGGGGGCAGGCCCCCCAAACTGATGGACATGAGAGTAGGGCCTGACAGGCCTTCCTCTTCTCAAACCTGGCAGATGGGGGCCTCTCTGGAAGAGGGAGGGGCCCTGTTACTGTCCAGAGTCTCTTTTTACACTTCACCTCCTTCTGCAGTCAGACTGAAATATAAAAAAGGTGGTGGTGGTGGTGAAGGGGCTGGTGGAGATGTATGAACCGATCTGCTATTTTTAATTTCCTCTGAGGATAGAGACTTGCAGTTAGACTCAAAGAAGTACTGTACTTTCCCAGGTTGACTAAGAAATGCCAGTGGTGGAGGTGGGTGTTTGGGAAAGGCAGGGCCCTGAAATGGCCTGTCTCTAGGGCTCTCCAAGCACTAGCCTTCCCAGCTTTCCCCCTCCCCATCTCTTCTGTCTAACTTGGGGAAGGGGCCTGGGCTGTGAGGACAGGGCCCCCACAGGGGATGTTTTCCTGAGTGTAGTCCCGGAGGCCTTCCCTTCACAGCTCTCCTCCAGCCCTGGGCACATAGCATAGGTTGGGGACACAGGATCCTGGCCTGAGAATTGAGGGGAGGTGGCCAGCCCGCAGAGGTGGGGTGCTGGGGCTGCATGATTTTTGCCCTGCGTCCTTTCTCTTTGGGGCTCCTTTCCCCTCTCACTCATACATAAAATCGCTTTCAAATTAAAATCGCTGTTTTCTGGACTGAGGTGACTGTATGAGGATGGGCAGCGCCGTTTCGGGCTTGGGGGGGTATCCGGTTGGGAGCTCCGGACGCGATCCCTGGACGCTGCCACCGAGGTTCCCTGGGGCCCAAGAGGTGGACGCAGGGTGGGGGACACAAGGCAAGCTTTGTCGGGGAGGGGGGAGAGGGTGTGCCAGGCTAGGGGCGGGGCCGGCCAGAGGAGGAAGGGGGGCGGTGGCTTCTCAAAGGCGCCTTGTTCGCTCGTGCCCTCTCCGCGCCAGCGGGCGGCGGCGCCTCGGCTCGCTCCGGCCTTCCCTCCGGCCGCGCTGCGGGCTCCGGGCAGACCCGGCGCCGTGCCTGCTCGTGGGGGCGCACTGGGCGCTGAGCGCTGCGGGCTTCTCAGGCATTGCCCGCCAGGAGGCGGCCCACGTCCCTGAGTGACCCCATTTCCCTGGACTCTTCCAACCAGAGTCGACTGCTCGCTCATCTTACCACTGCTCCCCCTCTACCTGGGCCCTGGGACTCCCTTACCGCGTCCCCCATGTGCATATCCTTGGACCTGACTATCCTGTGTTTGTCGGTGGGTTCCGGTCTCTGGCCTCTTGCTCCCCGTAGAACACCTCCCCACACATCCCCCGCCCCAGTTCGTCGCTATCTATAGCCTTGTCTATAAATACCCCCGCCCGGCCCGCTCTGTAATTACACGGGGCGGGGTGAGGGAAGTAATTATGGAGACCTGATTATGGGTGGGGTGGGGACTGCGACCCCCAGGCCCGCCTCTCCCCTCCCACTGTGCCCTAAATCCCACCCAGGTCTCTGCTGAAAGGGGGCTCTGGGCCCCCAAAAGGGAGGGAACGGGAGTGGGTGTGTGTGACTGGACCTTTGGGTCCTAGAAAAGGAAGGGGCTAGGGAAGATATTTGGGTTCCCGAAAAGAGAATCTTAGGGTACAGGCCATTGAGACCTACAAGGAGCAGGAGAGAGCCAGAGAGAGGGAGGGTTCTCGCCTCCCTCCCCAGGTGGAGACTGAGGGTGGGGTTTCCCCTTGGTGGCTGTGGGCGGGCGGCTGGAGGCAGGGGCCGGGCCGGGGGCGGGGGCGAGGTGGGGGCTCTGGGCGCCAGGGTGGCCGGGGACACACAGAAGCGGCAGCCACCGAGGAGGGAGCAGTGCCGGGAGCCCCGACGGCGCCTTGCTGCATGGAGCTGGGCCGCTGACAGCTGCTGCTGCCCGCAGCCTCTGACCTCCCTGGGACCCCAGCGTCTGAGGCTCATAGTCTGCTCCCTGTCTTCTGTCAGCCTCAGAGCATCCAGCGTCTCAGGCCGACCTGGGTCCCTGGGACCCGGCGTTCCGGTTTCTCAGCCATGGAGCGGTGCAGCCGCTGCCATCGCCTCCTCCTCCTCCTACCTCTGGTGCTGGGGCTGAGCGCGGCCCCAGGCTGGGCAGGTAAGAGGAGTCCTGATGCCTGAGTCCTCGGAGTCTGGCTGGAGCTCCAAGTGTCTCTGGGAAGGGGACAGCTGATGCCTGGGGCAGGAGCTTCTGAGTCTAACAAGGAGATTTGGGGCTTCAAGGGTCCAGGCTGGAGGGCAGGACACCTGTGTTCCTTGGATTCAGGGTAGGGATCTCTTCCTCCTTAAAGTGACTGGGGGAGGGCAGGTAGGGCTGAAAGGTGGAGGACCACTTTAGAGAGCCCTGAATGGGGATGGATGCTTGTCTTGGGTCCTTGGGAAGAGCTGAAGATGGCCAGAGCTAAAGATGGCCAGGGCCAGCCAGGTCCAGTCATCGCTGGTGTGGGGGTGGTAGATGCCAGTGTTGATGGGTGAGGCGTGTGTGTCTTCTGGCCTTTCTGTTGCTATCTCTGGGATAAGGGGTGAGCACCTGTGATTCAGAGCAGAGCTCAGTAAGCCCAGAAAGAAAGGGTGCCTTGACTACCTGTCTCATTAGCCTCCTGGACAGGGACCCCCTCCCCCTCCCTGTGCCCTCAATGCTGCCACGCAGCTGGCTCTGGGGAGCACTGGGGCTGGCTGCCAACAGGACGGCCCGCCGGACAGGCCAGGATCAGGTGTCTGAGGCCAGAGCCAACTCTTTGCATTCCTGCCTAGCCCCTCCTCCCTCTGGCCAGCCAGGCTCCCCTGGGACCCTGGTGTCCACAACCCCGACCTTTTCCTTCTTTTTCCCAGGACCCAGAATTCCTGGCTTCTAGGAAAGGGGATTTGATGTCAGGGAGGAGGGGGCTGTGAGCACCAAGCCCTCAGCAGGCTGGGAAAAGTCCACTATTTCTGGAGACACTGAGGGCTGATTTGTATTTAACTTGACGATTCAATTCTTCTCTGCTTTAGAGAGAAAATGGTCAGAATGGCAGCATAAAGGATTTAGATTAGATTTCAGAAGGAAGAACTTCCAAGATGTGAGGACAGTGAGGCCCAGGGCCAGGACATTGAGGGGTATGGTACCTGTAGACTCTAGGAGTCTTTCTTAGGGGGAAGAGGGATCCTCTGGCATGGAGGCAGGAGGATGGCTAAGATGACTGTTTCTTATTTCAGGAGCTGAGTCGGTAGAGATGGGACTTTAGGGAAATGAGTTAACTGTGGAATTCCTAAGGTTAGAGAATAAGGCATCTGGGGGGCCAGAGGTAGAGTGGTGGAGGGTGATGGGGCTACCAATGGGGAGCCTGTGGGGCAGATTAGGCTGGAGACAGTGGGGCAAGTATGTGGCCTGGTGTGGGAAGATGGTGGGCGGACCTGTGGGTAGGTCGTCTATATGATCGAATTGTACTCCCCTGGGGTTTGGTGGAGGGTAGGGGCCTCCAAGGTCTCCTTGGCCTGGGGTCTCTGTGAGTCTCTGTGTCTCTGTCTCACTCACCCTTCGTCTCTCAAAGCAGCCCTTGTGTGTTGGTGTTTGCGGAGCTGCCACACGCGCGGGGGCCAGGCTTAGGCGGGGGTTGGGGGGGAAGGCCGTGGTTTCCCGGCTCCTGGACTCAAAGGGCCTTTTCTCTGCCTGCCCGCCCCACCTCAACCACCCCACCCAGCTCTGCTCTCCTGATTGCTCTGGCCTCTGCCCTGCCCCACACTTCTATGAAAGTTTTGCTGAAACTCTCTTTGGGATTTTTCCGATCTGGAGCTGATGGTGTGAAGAGTATGTATACAGAGGAGCAAGTGAGGTCGAGGTGATCTTTTGTTTTCCAGGGAGTTTGAGCCCTAGGAAGCTGAGTTCTAGGTAGACAGGGCTGGTGGGCTGGGTCTTGAATCTTTGGGTCCCAGGTGGTGGGGTTGGTGAGGGGGGTGAGACAGGATTGAGGTTCCAGGTGTGGGGAGCTTGCCTGGGTTCTGGGCAAGCACTCTGATGGGATCCACAGATGTGTGGCTCGGGGCCCTGGACTTGTTCCGGCTCCGCGTGGCAGCTTCAGCCCCCACCCCCCATTCCTCCACCCCTCCCCAACTCATCTCCTAAACCAGGAGGCACAGACTCCTGGGAGAGCTTTCTTGTATCTTTTTCCTCAGCATGGTCAGGGTTGTTCCCACCCCATCCCCCAAACCTGGGATGGGTAGCTGCTCAAAGCCCCTCCCACAGAGCTGCCTCTCTGGTCTCTTCCTCGTGGCCCCCCTGCACCTCCTGTGCCCAGGATGATCGATTGCCCAGATGTTGTTTGTGCTGGAGACGGGACAGATGCCAGAGACCCAGAGAGTGAGAGATATGGAAAGAGAGTGAGAGCGAGGGAGAGAAAAAGATGGACAGAATGTGAGAGAAACGGAGGAAGACAGAAGAGATAGAGACAGAAAGACCAACATAATGAGACAGAGAGAGTAAGAGAGTGAGAGAGACAGGAGACAGATGGAGAGTTGAGAGAGATGTTCAGAGAGCACAGAGAGAGGCAGGTTCATAGGCTAAAAGACAAAGGGAGAGTGTAAGAGAGGCAGATGCTAGGAGAGAGGGGGGCAGGAGTGTCGTGGGGATGAATGCCGGCTGATGCTGCCCTGCCTCCAGGTACCTTTGCATTTCCAGTCCATTCAGGCACTGTTTAGAAGCAAGTGAGGGTGAGGTGACCTTTGCCTTGCAGGGAGTTTGAGCCCTGGAAAGCTGAGTTCTAGATCCCAAATGTCCCCTATTTATGCCCTCCTGAGGGCGTGTCCCTTCTCCTGATAGTCATGGACTCTCCCAGGTGCACCCCCTGTGGATGTGCTCCGGGCTCTGAGGTTCCCCTCCCTCCCTGATGGTGTCCAGAGAACGAAAGGCATCTGTCCAGCTGATGTGGCCTACCGAGTGGCACGACCTGCCCAGCTCAGTGCACCCACTCGCCAGCTTTTCCCAGGTATGGGTGACGTGGTGGAGTAGGGAGGCCTGGGGGAGGTAATGGGATGGGGCCTAGGATCAGACACCAGGAGGAAAGAAAGGGGTTGTGGCGGCTCCCTTTGCCTCTCACTCTGTGTGTATCTCTCTTGGATACTAGGAGGATTTCCCAAAGATTTCTCTCTGCTGACTGTTGTCCGGACTCGCCCTGGTCTCCAAGCTCCCCTCCTGACTCTCTACAGTGCCCAGGGTGTCCAACAGCTGGGCCTGGAGCTGGGCCGACCTGTCCGCTTCCTGTATGAGGATCAGACTGGGCGGCCTCAACCTCCCGCTCAGCCAGTCTTCCGAGGCCTCAGCCTCGCAGATGGCAAGTAAGTTTGTTTGCTTCTCTGGTCTGCTCGGCCCACACTTTGAGGAGGAAGTGCCCTGGAACTCCTACACTCTAAACTGTGAAACCCTTCAGACTCTTTGGGCCATACCACACCTACCCACTGCCCAAACTTCAGTCACTTCTAGTCCAGAGTTTGGGCTTTACAGTGTGCAGCCTTCTCTGTATGTTGAACTTGCCTGTACCTTGGGCAAGTTACTTAAAGTTTTTGAGCCTCACTTTCTACATCTGTAAAATGGACATTAAATAGAATCGGCACAAATAAGAAAGTGATGGCATGGTGCCTGGTGCACTGTAAACACTCAATAAACGGTAGCCTTTGTTATTACTGCTCTTATCACCATTCGCTT